AGTTTGCTATGTCCGAGTCCATCACCAGAATCAACGAAAATCTCCCAAGCAAAAACTATGGTGAAGAAAGCAGGAGAATCAGGAAGAAAAAAAAAAGAGTTCGGCTTTTTTGGGAAGCCGCTTTTGGAGAGTGAGGACCGCGAGGAGTGGATTTTTCCACCGCTCTCCTCTGACACACTCAAGCTTCTCTACAACGCTGGCTTGGATCCTTGCGAGAAGCATGATGAGAAAAGATCTGACACGTCGATCTCAAGATTCCATGAAATTATGACACACACACCCACACACTCTTTCTTTCCATTTCTGTCTTTTGCAGATTCGACATCTAAGTGGGACAGTCGTGTCCACTTGCACAACACTCGGGCATGTGTCTTCACCATTAGTGTTGCTTGTTCTTGTTCTTGTTTGTGCTACCGTTGCTGGTGGTGCTCTTGGCGTTGAAGTTGTTGGTGGTGCCGGTGCTGGTGCTGGTGCTGTGTTGTGCTTTTGTTCCGGCAACGCATCGGTTACTAAGTTACGAGTCAAGTTTATGTGACTTTTGCATGCGACATTTCCATCATTTCCAACCACAAAGATTCAGCCGTAGCTCCTTACCACATCCGATTCTTCACCTGACTCTCATCGACTCATCGACTGGTGTCATCTCTAGTGTCATCTGGTCACTCATGCGATTCAAGGCCTGATTCGTTCCCCTGTAGGAACGAATCATCAGCCATAAGGGCCATAACTCTCCTGCGACCACCCCTGCAATTCATAAAGGGAGGCCAACTTCCAACAATCCCTGTGTCACCTGGATCTCGACTTCTTCGCAAAGATAAACACCCAGGTGAATGGCCAAACTCCTGCACTGCCATTGGTCAATAGGAACATGTCATGAAATTAATTTCGAGAAAAGAAAGGAAAAACGGTAATACTCAAACACGCTCGCAGGATTCCATAGACACCAAACAGATACTGTACAACGTGTATATATATACCATCAGCCGCATGGACCCACAAATTTGTAGGTCTTTTTTCAGAAACCCGGTTTTTCCATGCATGTTGACATAAATATGGGTCTTCCTCAAAAAAACCCGGTTTTTTTGAATATCAGGATTTATGAGAATATATGTAACCTCATATGTTACTTATTGTAACCTTTTGGTATATAATATACTGGGAATCACATGTTTTTTATGTATATAACCCCATCACTCAACCACTTTGTCAGCAACAGGCCGAGTGACTTCCGTGGCATGCTCATCAAGGAGGATCTCAAAGGATAGATCAAGTAGATAGATTTTCATATATATATATAGTATATACAGGGGGCACATCCCATAAATATATATAAGAATTATATAGAAGTGAGTACGCCAACGATCCCAGCAAAAGTTTGGTGACAAAATTATATACCGCATCAGCCTATAGCGGGATATCACAACATAGAATAGTTCAGTGATAAGAGATGGGAACAGAAGAATTTAATAGGACCTCTTCACCCCACCATCATCCTGACTATACTGCACTTTTCCATTCCACTGCTCCGTGGATACTCAGCCGCACCATGGATCTTTGCCATGAACAGAAGCTGAAGCGAAGATGCTGAGGCTCGGGTCCTGCCGACTGGGGAGACACGCAAAGAGGATATACCTTATGTGCATATATAGAAATATATGCGTACCATGTACTTTATTTACACATTTATTCCACATTGAACCAAATAGAGATGTTCAGGGTAAAGATATGGAAAGAACCAGGGATGCCATATCGTGATACCATTTTTTCGCAGCACATTTTCATATCATCAAACTGTTCCCGTGGTTGCCTGGTTGGGTCGCTATGGCGGATCCAAACATTGATCATGAGATTGGTGAGAACGAGGCTGAGGACAAACCAAGGGTTGATTTGACAGGCCTTGCCTCTGAGCTTGAGAAAGTGGAATCTATCCGAAACTACATGAGGGATGAGGAGGATCCACTGTTTCCGCAAGGGACGAACGTGGAATCAGTTCATGTGGTGAAGGATGACCATGTCTATGACATCCTGAAGGTCTTGTTGTCCCGCACAGCTGAAGCGGAGGGGCACCCTTCCCTTCCCGTAGGCCCACTCCGTGAAGAGTTGTCTACTTTGTACCAGAAATGCAGCCGAGTGGTGGACGATGTCACTATTCATAATGATTCGTGGGCTATTCGAAAGATCATTGCCTTCATCAAAATGAAAGTGAGGAGGTGCAAAGTTAGCACAGCCACTCTACTTTATTTTGACGCACCTTTTTTATATAAAGTTTCACGCCTCTAGCCCTGAGGTGATCCTATTTGCCATGGGGAAAGCGGATTTCCTTTCAGCATTCCCGCCACTCTGCCAAGGTATACCGATTTCAAGAGCTGTGTTTGATTCTCAACCCCTTCTTGGAGGACCTCCCAGTATGTATGGGTTGACAAACCGCAATCAGGGATATAGATGGTAATGAAAAAATATAATACTGTATATAAAGCATATATGGTAGCAACCCAGTCACTCATAACCTTAATGTATATAGACCAACAAATATATACACGTATATATATATATACAATGGTTCACTTTTATCCCTGCAGGAGCATGTTCGAGCAGCCCGTGCACGCACAGAGGAACGTCGTGGAGCAAAGGTGGGGTATGTGAATGATATATAGTATATGTATATATTTACGACGCATGGGGTATTAATATATTTTTGGTATATATGTATATATGCATATATGTATATATATATATACATATATATATAATGTTTCCTGTGCTGTGGAAAACGAGCACGCTTTCATTACCCTGTTCAAGATTCTTGGCCCTGCAGGATTCTAAGAGCTCTTTGGAAACTGAAGACCCTGATGCCTACGATGAGGATTCAAATGGTGAGGAGGATTCAAATGGTGAGGAGTCTGATGCAGAGATTGTGGGAAAAGAAATTCCCAATCCTGGTGTGACTGGTGTGGAAGTTGGTGCTGAAGTTCCTGACGTCCCTTCAGCCGACCCGCAGCCAGAGTCCGCGTCTGCCCGTCCCAGTCCTGAGCAAGGTGGATCTCCAAGCCAGGCGGAGAATCTTCGAGTCCTGACCCAAGAAGCGGACGCTAAAGGTGGGGAGCTGGGTGGAACAGGTTTACCAGTCACCTGGGTATGATTGATGGAATCAACTTAGGCCACATTTAAGTGGTGACTTTTCAAATTCTGTTAATGTTTTATATGTATCATTTATAATATATATATATATATCTCTCTCTCTCTTTCTCTCTCTCTCTCTCTCTCGCTCTCTCTCTCTCTCTCACTCTCTATTTGGATTTAAAATTTAGGTGTGCAGAATATCTTTGAACCATATATATATATATAGATAGATGGAATCAAACTGCTTCAACTTATTGCAGACATCTAGCGGCCCCTGGCTAGGCAAAATGATGGTGGACAAGCTCTCTGAAGCCAAAAAACGCTTGGAACAGCAAGATCCTCAAATAATTTTGAGTGCCTGTTTCAAAGACCAGATATATACAGTATAGATAGATCGATAAATAGAAATATATAGATCTATCAAGTCAATTTGGCAGCAGTTGTGATGCCCCTTTCTTACATGCACGGGCTGGGTCTTCCCAGGGACTTGCCAAAACCACTTAGGATTCGCCAGCGCAAGAATGACTTGAACCGCCAGATTTCAGTCATGAAGCAGGAAGACATGAAACCTCGGCCTAGGCCTTCAAACAAAGGTGGGATTTTGGACATGATTTTGGTATGGGGGAATGTTCATATATAATCATATATATATATTTACTTGTACGATCCTTGGAAATATATGTGAGATTATGTGGACAGAATTGGACAGATATGTAAGGGATATTTTTCATATCCAATGCAGGTGGGAAGCCCTGCGCTGGTGCTATCTTTGCCCATGACAACGTTGACACGCAGCCAATTGACGTCATGAACCACGAACCGACCGGGAAGTCACCAATCCCTACCAATTCACCTACTCAGCCAGCACATGCTTTGAGGAAACAATATCAGGGACAATCCCCACCTTCAGTTCCACCAGCCGGCTCCACCCGCAAGGAGCCTGAGACTGCTTCGCCCATGGAAGACCTGGCAAACGGAAAGGCCGTTTGGTGTGTAAATCTGCATGTATGGTACAAACCCCTACTGCGCATGCACTCGATGTTTCAATCCAAGTACTGCATTGGGCGCGTTCGCGTTCTGATTTTGAAGTGGGGGGGTTAGTTATATCAATTTAGCGTGTTCATGCGGTCACCCAACCTTTGGTAAAATCTTGCTACAACATTTTTGGTTTTGTCAGGGCGGCACCCCCATGCATGCAGGTGGGCACTGAAGGTGACCAGCCAGAAGTGGTCACGCGAAACGATCAGCTGACCATGAAGTCGGCCAGCAAAGCAGCCCGCCGTGACAAAGTTGCCAAGAACAAAAAGAAAAAACGTTCAAACAAGGGAAAGAAAAATGCCAAGAAGGGAAATGGAAAAAAAGGGAAGAAAACGACAAAACCCAACACAGGTTCCAGCTCAAGTCTGGCAGGTGTCACCTCCCCGTCCAAGAGGAAACGTGAGCTTCTTAAAAAGCGCAGTGTTGATGCTTCCAATGCTTTGGCTGCACATGAGGAGGGTGATGGCTGGATTCCGAAACGGCCCAAGTTGCGCTCAGCTGGCAATGAGGAAGGAAGCATCAAGGCAAGGAAGCCGAAACACAGCAAGGTCAGAAAAAACACAGCTCAGGTCACAGCCGCACCCAAGCCCAAGGCGAAGTCAAAAACATGTGCAAAGGCAAAGGCATCCCCCAAGGCATCCCCCAAGGCATCGCCAAAAGCAAAGGCGAAAGCAAAGGCAAAGGCATCAAGCAGGAGGAGATCAACCAGGGGACGAAACACTGAGGGAGATGAGATTGACCCGAACCTCTTCTCATCAGAAATGATGGACGACCTGTATGAGTTTGCCTGTGGTCTTGGTGGGGAAGGTGTGGATCCAAAGTCAGCCATCTTCAAAGCGAGCATGCGCAGCCAGCTTGCAGTCCTAGACTGGACTGCATACAACATTTACTGGTCGCGTGCCTCGTGTGGAGTGAAGCGCTTTGATCGTGACATGCATCACTTCATTTTCACGACATCCACGGCGCATGAATCATACCGCTGTGCTGTGGCCTGCAAGTGCGCCGAGTATGCTGCACCTTGTTTGACGAATGCAGTGCGTTTTCGTTAGTTTCAACACATTAAATGGTGGGCGTTGTGTTTGATCCACACGTTCACATTTATACAATGCTTCAGCTCGTCCACGCGCAAAACTAAAATAACATGTTGTTTACGGAACTGTCAAGGCATTCCCTGCACACATCTTTTGCCTGTGAATATTTCCCTGCTATCCTAGGCGCTTGGCATGGAAGCTGGTTCTGAGGGCTATGAACATGAGGGCCCAGAGATCCAGAAGCTCAAGTACAATGGATTCCTAGCTTTGCAGCGGCTGGTGGCCGATCGATCTGAGGATGTCGAGTGAACAGTGGTGGCTGACGGCAACCGGACTGTGATATACAAAGTATAGGATTAAGATCTTTGGCCAACTCCAGCAAACGGGGTCTGGAGATGCGCGCTATTTGGGTGCGAAGTGGAGCTTAAACAAGTTCCGCGTTTCAATCTTCATGGGGTCATACTCAGTGGCTCGAAGAGAAACACCCGCCATGGATCCAAAGATGGTAGTTTATGCTGTGTGTTCTCAAAGTATCAAATCTTCGCATATATATTTTGGGATTGTTTAGTTGACGGATCACTGGGTGGCTGCGAGCATGAGTATCTTTTGCCGCAAACAGCGCCTGTTGTGCCAATAGGGAACCAATTTCAACCCGGATGTGCCCACAGAAAAAAAAAACATTTGAAGTTTGTTCGGGTGTGAAACTCTCACCATTGAAAGCATGGGACATACTGAGCAAAGCATCTATTGACAATATATACAGGTATATATAGGGGGTGCCAACTTTTTGGACGCAATAGAATCTAGGATGTTTTTTTTGGTTGATTACTTCCCTTGTCTCTCATGCCCGGCGCAGGTCTGCAGGCCTCAAGCGCGAAGCCTCAAAGTATGCCTCGCCTCCGGGGCAATGCTTGGAAAGTCCGGGCCAACTTCATGAAGAAGAAAGGGGGTGCTTCTGACAAGTTTTTTCTGGAAGGTGATCATTTGCGTGGGCTGATGATATATCATTTCGTTTCCTCGGTATATCCCCTCAAATAATTTCAAAAACAGCTAGTATGTAACAAAGTGATTTTATTGCTCCATAACTCTGAGGTTTTTCATCAATTGATTGAGAAATGGAAGGGTCCAGTTGTTTGAATGGCATTGAATGGCATTCGACGTGGCTATGATGATCAAGTTGAGGGTTTGACCTTTGGCCATTTCTGCGCCATGAATGCTTTTCGTTGCTTTCGTGAGCCTGCCCACCTGGATGCCTTCTTCTTCCAGCTTCTCCATTTAGGTTGCCCCCAAGCCCTGTTCTTAGAATTGTGTCGTTATGAATGTTCCTGCCCCAACGGAAAGATAAATCACCTGTTTTCAGTGAGATTACGCAGCACCTTGTTTTTTTCCACCACATGTCAATGGGAATTTCAGGATCCTAAAATGGAGGTACTGTACCATATAAGGCCATATCTTGGGGGGATATCCCCTTACATAGGCCTTATATAGGCCTTATATATGGTAGGTACCTCCAATTTAGGTTCCTGAAAATCCCATTGAACATGGAAGTGTAAGAATGTTGCTGAGATACTGGCCCTGGTGATATTGATGATCATATGGACGCCGACTCTGCACGTGATTGGCGACGAAGAATCTGAGGAGTTCGTACTTGTCACTATATTTCTGTCTTTCAACATGTATATCAAATGGAAATCCAACATCTGTATCAGGTTCCGGTTCAATGGAGTCAACGTGTATATATATATATTTAT